ACAGAGACCGCCGTTAAATAAAGAAATGAAACAGAAGAAGATCTTTAGTTCTTTGTGTTAACATTTGGTCCTTCGAGCTGGATAGCGAAGGCACTAACTGCATAATATCGTGTTGAACGTTTTTGAAAAGTTACAAGTTAAACGCCCTACAGTGTGAAGTGCGTGAACTTGAAAGTGATAGAAAGTGATTCACGGTATAAACACACTATAGCCAGCGTAGTAGGGTAGGCGTAGCATAAAAGCTGTAGTGTTGTGACTTACGCTGAACAACTGCAGTATTGTACGAAAGTTCACGTAAGCTACCGATTGTACCAAACTTATACGAAGGGGCCGTTTCTTCTCGATATTGTCGATTGTAATAATATGAGATATCTCACCCATGATTTAGGATTAGTTATCAAATAGTACTTTGACACGGCTGGTCACAGAATAAATAATTTTAAGAAGTTAGTGTAATAAATGTAGTATTAATCGTTCAATAAAGTGTTTGCTTAAATGTAATAAGTGTATTAAACGAATAAAGTGGCTGTAAAGTTATACGAAAGACTATGTGTGATTGTGTGCGATAAGAAGAAATTTTCTTTCAATGAGCTTTTATATCGAAGAACACATCTGCTCATCTGCTTAAGGGAGAGTTCAATTATATCACCTGAAAGGTGTACTGCACGTGGGATTTTGTATTGATACGCAATATTCTAGTATTGACCTGACATATGCAATGTACAATGTTGTTATCGTAAACGGGTCATGAAAGTTATAGCAGAAGCGTTTTTTTTTAAACTTGGCATGTTGTTGGCTCTGTTTATAGTTGTATTATAACGATCAATGAATGTAAGTTTAGAGTCTAAGATAATACCTTAGTCCCTAACTTTATTACACTTTTCAAAATTCTGATGTCCTAAGGTAATTGTTATATTGGGTATGATCCATTTTATAGTAAAAGTAATTGAGTTACACTTTTTTTGCATTGAGTTGTAGCAAGCTTTTGCTACACAAAGCGTGAAATATCTGTATTTCAGTATTGAATGTGTTGATGTCTTTGGAATTTTGAATTTCTAAAAAAAAAATATACATTTCATCAGCGTAAATTAAAACCTACAGTTTTTTTTAATAAATGATACATCGCTTGCAAAAAGAATGAATATAAGAGGTCCTAAATGAGAGCCTTGTGGGACTCCCGATTTGAATGCGTAGGACAGCAGAAGAATTTTCGCAAAGGTGACCTTCATAAACTAATTTCTTCATTATTGGTGATTTTAATGCAAAACACCGCTCATGGAATAATGCTCAAAGCTATTCCAAAGGTAATATTTTGTTTGATGATTGTTCTGCAGGTTATTACACTATTCAATATCCAAACAGCCCAACATGCTTTTCTTCATCAAGAAATCCGTCAACTATTGATGTGGTCTTAACTGAGTCATGTCAACTTTGTAGCCATTTGGTTACCCATACTGACTTCGGTTCTGATCATCTTCCAGTAACTTTTGAAATATTCAAAGAAATAATTGTATCCCAACAGCTCTACTTTCAATTACCATAGAGCTGATTAATATCGAACATTTATGGAATAAAACTTTGATCCAAATATTCCTTTGCAAACCAAAGATGATATTATTAAGGCTCTTGAATCTCTGACTTCTGACCAAAATGCGAGGTTAAATTCGATTCAATTATAATAGACGACGATCTTCAGCTCTTGATCCACCTGAAAAATGATCTTAGAAGGCAATATAAATTGACACGCATCCTGAGGAACAAAACCTTTGAAAATAATGTGTCCAAATTAGACCCGAGTTCCAAACCCTTTTGAACGCTCACAAACATTTACAAACAAACACAAACAAGTAGCTCAGAAATTTCCTAAGCAATTCGAGAATTCCCATAAAAGATCGTCGGCTGCCGTGGCTTCTTCTGGTGTAAGGGGCACTGCCATCGGGCTTGAACGGCTATAGCATCAACTCCATCAATAAAGGTGTGCTGTGATATGGAGGCCTCAGCTGCCTTAGACTGCCGTTTTTGCTTACAGATAAAAACATCGTGGGATCAAACCCAGGCTCCATCATAAGGGTGGGGCTTATTTTTCAAAATCTTTCGGGAACACGTTTTTTCATGTGGAAAATGATTACTAGGGCCAAACAAACAACATATAAAAAAATAAACGTTTTTCGTTAAGATTTAGAGGTGGCGCCAGAGGCCTAAGACCAATATATCGAACGAAGCTGATTTTCGAACAAGTCTAGTGCGTCTTTAAGTAAACAGATATCTTTAACCATTTTCGAGATATACGGCATAGCAGGTTTGGACTTACACCCACGAATATTATCTAGCGCAAACAGTATTCTTGGCAGTGCTAGATACAGTGAGCGTATGAGTACGATACAGATCGAGCGAGAACGCGAGAGTGTGAGAGAGAGCGAGAGAAGAGAGAGAGAGAATGATTAAATCTCGATGAACATTTCAAATCAGGATGAACATTTCAAATGGTCCTATCTGCTTTGATCGATTCTCTTCATCGACTTTCTCTTTTCATAACCACTGCTATGCAAACAGATTTCGCGCTAATTCTACCACATAGTTTGATAAAGGAAGTTCTTATCTAGCGTCCAAAACGTCAAATACAACAGGGAAAGGTTTTGCAGCTGAGTTATTGCCGAAAAAGAAAGTCGATGAAGAGAATCGATCAATGTAGATAGGACCTTTTGAAATGTTTATATAGAAATGGTTCTATCTGCTTTGATCGATTCTCTTCATTGACTATCTCTTTTGATAACCACTGCTATGCAAACAGATTTTGCGCTACTTTTACAAAATAGTTTGATAAAGGAGGTTCTTATCCAGCGGTGCCGGCGGTGTAGTGGTAAGCATTGATTATCTCTCACCCCAGCAGGCCTGGGTTCAATCCCAGTTGGCGCCGCCGGGATGTTCTGAGGCATAAGTAAAGTAAGGGAGGGAAGTAAAGCCGTTGGTCCCCGGTTCATGAGTTGATGGATCGATAGGTAGGGTCCAGGTGTGGGAGCTGTCTCCCTGGCGTCGGTTGTATTGGTGCTCACCACGGAAAACAAGATTGACGGAAAAAAATCAAGGAAAAAAAAAGAAGAGGTTCTTATCTAGCACCCAAAATGTCAAACGCAATAGGGAAAGCTTTTACAGCTGAGTTATTAACGGAAGAGAATCGATCAATGCAGATTGCACATTTTGAAATGTTTATCTAGAAATGTATTCATTATATTTGTGTCAAATTTTATTAATCCATAAAATCCAATCCTCGAATATGACCTCACTATGACGAATACTTATCAACAATAGTACTTTTTTCAAGTCAGTTAGGTTTTTCTTGTGGAAGTTCACGTTTATAATAAGATTCTGGAAACTTTCTTCTTTTTTACTCATACGCTCACTGTATCTAGCACTGCCAAGAATACTGTTTGCCCTAGATCATATTCGTGGGTGTAAGTCCAAACCTACTATGCCGTATATCTCGAAAATGGTTAAAGATATCTGTTTACTTAAAGACGCACTAGACTTGTTCGAAAATCAGCTTCGTTCGATATGTTGGACTAAGGCCTCTGGCGCCACCTCTAAATCTTAACGAAAAACGCTCATTTTTGGATATGTTGTTCGTTTGGCCCTAGTAATCATTTTCCAGATGAGAAAACGTGTCCCCGAAAGATTTTGAAAAATAAGCCCTACCCTACTCCATCATATAAAAGAGTTTGAATGACTGCAACAACTCGGTCATAAGTGGTGTGATGTGATGTAAGGGACTCGATGGCCTGAGAATGGCCATTTTTGCTTACTGAGCTGAACATAATGAGCTACGTTAGCTGTTTTGTTCCCCACTCGAACCCATCACCTTTCTGCATACCCAATCCTTTTATCCTACATCCCAATGACTTCTCGTGAAAGTTCAGGGGATTTCTCGGCTTCCAACAACACATTTCTACCCAATACTTACACCAGTTTTTCCATAATAAAGATGATTGCTAGTCTCAATCAGCATCTGTTGGTTCTCTGTGTAATTACAGCTAATCTGATAATAATGGAGTAGCATCCGTCGACCGTCAATCGTACTAACGCTCGTGCTTAGTAGAACGATATGTATGTACTATATCTGAAATGATATCATATCATATGATATATGATATCTTTATGAAATTGATAAAAAAAAATATCCAAATTTGCTGGTCATGATTTCGAAGAATTTAAGGCAAAAGTATGATTCGGGATTATAAATTAAAAAATCAATAGTGAAGGGGTTATTTTATTTCAGAGCATGATTGTGATTTTCTTGAAGATTATTTAATGAGTATCAGAATTTTGCTACGTTATCAAGAAGCCTGAATTTCCTACAGGGGGGGGGGGGGGGGTGGCAAAAAGTTCAAGTCGTATCTCAAACCCATGTTATTATTTACAAATGTCTAAAAAGCATATAATTTACTCTAAAAAATCATAAGTGAAGCAAAATGTAGTATTTATTGAGAAAAACCATTATGTTAGGGTAGATTTCGTTGTTCAACAAGTTCTGGCAATATCTGGGCACAAACATGTGATTTCTTTATGTCCTTCACACCACCATGGGGTATTTAAAGATTTGTTCTAGCAAAACTTCTCAAAAACTGCCATTAAGTTTGCGAACTTTTGCTCATTGCTAAATCGAACTGTTGCTCCTCAAAATTCTTCCAAGCTTTGTAACCAGAAGTTGTACCTTTAGAATCGTTCCTACAATTACTAATTTTCCTTACACATCAAATTGGGCGCTAATTGCCCAATTGGGAAGTTCGAAACATAAATTAACCCACCCCTATGATTTTTTCTTAATTACGCCAATGGAATTAGGGATCGTGTGTTTCAAATTAGTTTGTTTTCAAATGTTGTGAGTTTTGAGCTATTTTCAGCTTTAAACTAATGTCAAACTTTTACCCCACCTATGTGACAATTGTTCACTAACATTTACCCAATTTTCCAAACAGTTAGACCTCTACCACATAGCAAACAATTCACTTAGTCCACAAATCACCCGGCTGACTCCCACCACCTTCGGCCCACTTTTGCTCCCGTCTAACGAGCTGCACCGTATGAGCCCCAACCAGCTTCATTGTAATTTCAAACTTAAACTTCATATCCTCCTGCTTGATGGTGGTCCTCACTTCGAACGCCATCAGCAACCGTGTCAGCATGGTCTTCAACGAATTCATCGCATATCGACTGCCGATGCAGTTCCTAAAGCCGGCACTGAACGGCAAATATGCATACGGATGCCGCTCCCGCACAGCTTCCGGCCGAAACCGTTCCGGATCGAATCGCTCCGGTTCGTCGCCCCAGAAGTCCTTCCGCCGGTGGAGGCTGTAGAAGTTCATGACCAGTATTTGACCGCGGGGAATGTGGACTCCGTCAAGTTCGATTTCGGAACCAGTTTCCCGGGCTATGAAGGGAACTACCGGCACCAAGCGGAGGGTTTCCCTGATGACCATCTCGGTGTAGAGCAGCTGCTTAAGCGATTCGGTGTTGAGCTCTACCGAAGGTGAGTGGAAGATTTCGCGCATTTCCGAGACGACTTTGTCCTGGATTTCTGGATTCTGAGCAAGGAACAGGCACACGTAGCAGGTGGTTAGAGCGGATGTTTCGTTACCCTAGGAAGAAGGATTTAGAAATTAAGGTGAGGATTTTTTTTATGATTAAGGGACAATGTACCGCCGCCATCATGGTGCGAAGATGCTCAGACACTTCCTGATCTTCGAGCGGTACGCCTTCCTGTCTGTAGTTCAATATTTCGTCCAGGAAAATGTTCGACTTCAGGTGTTGCTCCAGGCTGTCCAGATTTTTTTCGGATACTTCGTTGTTGTTTTTTTCTCCAGCAAGGCGAGCTCGTCGTTCTTGGATGATTTTGTCGGTGAATGCATCGCAAATGACTCGAGATTTCATTTCCCGACGATAGCTGGCTGAGAATCTGTACAAGGCGTCCAATTGCTTTTCAACGTTTAGCATGCGTTCTCCCAGGCTTGATTGAATTCTGCGGGAATTGAGACCAGTCAACTTGAGTCACATTATCAGCATGATTGTACTTACTGTTCCAGGTGATAAACGTACTCCTTCTCTCCCGGACGTACGTGTAAGTGGCAGCCCATCGTTGTACTGAATATCATTTCCAGAGTACATTGTGCCACGTACTGGAGTAGATTTAAGTCCGTCACACCATCAGCCAAAGGTTTCAACCGCTCAACCAAAACTTTAGCCCGTGAATCGAAAATCGGAACAAATCCTCCAAGTATCTTCATACTAAAAGCTGGATTAACCGCCTTTCTGGTTTGCTTCCAATACAAACCATCTGAAAAATCCACGAAATGTTATTCCCCTGCTCATCCGATCTACCTTACCTTACTTCGCTCCGTGATGAGACCCCGACCCAGCTTCATCAAGTCGTACAGAAATGGCTTATCGTACAGCTCGGCGTTGGTGAGAACCTTCTGCAGCAAATCCGGGTGGTGAATCAGCACGGCCGGAATGGGGCCCAACAAAAGTTTTGTCATTCTTTGGTTGGTGTTGAAAACTCTCGCCATCGTCCGGAAGGCTCTTTCGGTGTTCTTACCGGAGAACATCATAGCATGTCCCAGGAAGGGAATCTTAGCGGGATAGGAAGGAATGTTCCACGCATATCTGATCGTCAGCAGATGGTTCACAATCACCCCGAGTAAGGCGAATGTGACCAGGAGTACGAATGCAAGCACCAGTTCCATTGATGAGCTTACGACTTTTCCACAGCACGGACCGAACTGAACAGATTTAAAGCTGAGCCCTCATAGTTATCAGAAAACAGAGCTTGTCCAGCGATTCAAATAGCTATCGATTCATTGAGTGGAGCTGTGTTTAATTGAATCAATTTGTCTTTGATTGACCCATAAATACGGGTGTTAAAGTTAGTTGAGCTTGATTGAAAGCGAATTATGTCATATGTCTGTGTTAATTGTTCAACACATAGCCTTCGCTGCCCTTTGGCATTGAACTTTATGATTTTCCAATTCAATTGACACAGATGCAATTCCAATCTTGCTCGAATAAACAAACCCATCATCCTTTCTTATCTCTTCCAGGTAATTTCCCGGAACCAAAATCGAATCTATCAACGTGTGGCACTTCGACTGCTGTAAGCATCAGCTCATCGACAGACGGAAGAAAACCAAACAAATTGTCTTCCCTCCGCAAATCCTGTCAGGTAATCCAGGAAAAATCCGCTCCACTTTATTTCCCATGCCGAAGCACGTCACCACCGGCTGGCGGTTCATTTGTCTTCATGCGAAGCGAAGCAGCTTTTTCCCGCCTCGTCCTCCTACGAACCACACTTGATTACGCATCTCTTCCGAACGTTTACGAGGCTCAGTGGCACACCCCCTTCCCATTCCAGCACACACACACACCGGAAGGGAAAATGAAACCGTTTACCTCTCCGGGAAAAACATTGACGAAAAAGAAGGAAGCGCTCAATTTTGGCATAAACTTCCCCTTTGATGGCAGCGGGGGCTGGTTTTTGGAACTCTGACATGCGTTGATGGACTGACTGACAGGCCGACAGGCGGACAGACAGGTGTGTACTTACCTCCAATGGGATGGGATCGGAAGCTCACATATTCGGCACTTTGAAAGAGCCTGGAAATTGTTTCAATTTCCGATTCCCGTTTCAATTTTGTGAGGATTGTTTTTTTTTTGGGTGAGCTTTCTTCGGGTAACCTGTTCGAACGCATCACCGTGAAGTTCAACTTGTGTGCTTTGTCGTTGATCATGCTGTGAGGCTATTGTGTGGATTATCCAAGCAAGGAGGTTGCGTGTGAAAAGATCATTTTTATTCCTTAGCAATAACGTAGAATGATAAAAGTTCGAAAGACAAAAGGTCGAAAGACAACATGTCGAAAGATAAAAGGTCGAAAGACAAAAGGTCGAAAGACAAAAGGTCGAAAGACAAAAGGTCGAAAGACAAAAGGTCGAAAGACAAAAGGTCGAAAGACAAAAGGTCGAAAGACAAAAGGTCGAAAGACAAAAGGTCGAAAGACAAAAGGTCGAAAGACAAAAGGTCGAAAGACAAAAGGTCGAAAGACAAAAGGTCGAAAGACAAAAGGTCGAAAGACAAAAGGTCGAAAGACAAAAGGTCGAAAGACAAAAGGTCGAAAGACAAAAGGTCGAGAGACAAAAGGTCGAAAAACAAACGGTCGAAAGACAAACGGTCGAAAGACAAAAGGTCGAAAGACAAAAGTTCTAAAGACAAAAGGTCGAAAGACATAAGGTCGAAAGACAAAAGGTCGAAAGACAAAAGGTCGAAAGACAAAAGGTCGAAAGACAAACGGTCGAAAGACAAAAGGTCAAAAAACAAAAGGTCAAAAGATAAAAGTTCAAAAGACAAAATGTAAAAAAGACAAAAGGTCGAAAAACAAACGGTCGAAAGACAAAAGGTCGAAAGACAAAAGGTCGAAAGACAAAAGGTCGAAAGACAAAAGGTCGAAAGACAAAAGTTCGAAAGACAAAAGGTCGAAAGACAAAAGTTCGAAAGACAAAAGGTCGAAAGACAAAAGTTCGAAAGACAAAAGGTCGAAAGACAAAAGTTCGAAAGACAAAAGGTCGAAAAACAAAAGTTCGAAAGACAAAAGGTTTAAAGATAAAAGGTTGAAAGACAAAAGGTCGAAAGATAAAAGGTCGAAAGACAAAAGGTCGAAAGACAAAATATTGAAAGACAAAATTTCGAAAGGCAAAAGGTTGAAAGGAAAAAAGGTCGAAACACAAATGTCGTAAGACAAAAGGACGATGACTGATTTTTTTAAAGATCTAGTGAAATTTAATGTTACTCTCCACATCTGAAAAATATAAGATTCTAATATTTCATCTTAGTTTTTTTTTAATCATGTCTAAAAGAAAGAAAAATCAAATTAAAATATAAGATTTTGATTTATCATCAATTTTTTAAATCCTTAAACTCACAAGTTTTCCAAAGTTCAAGGTGTACATTTTTAAAGGTCAAAGACTTAAATGCAAATTTCAATCACAGATTCTTAAATAATTCTCACGAATAAACTTTTTAAGAAGGGTATAATGAATAGATAGAAATTTTTAATACATCCTTCAATATTACAGCAAAATCAATGTTATACAAATTGTAATGAATGAATAGTGAAAGCATTGATGAGAATATAGTAAAAAATCATAAATCTCATAAATAAAGAATTAAAAAAAGTGTAGAATCATAATATTTACATCAGCTAATGGACTTTCGATCTTTTCTCCATTCGATCTTTTGTCTAGCGACTTTTTGTCTTTCTATCTTTTGTCCTTTCGACCTTCTCCCCTTCGACCTGAAGTCTCTAAACCGTTTTATCTGCGATCGTTTTACCACACTTATACGTATTGCAACATATTTTACTGCACTCTCATTTAAATATCTGAGGGTTATAGGGCAAAAGGTTGAAGGACATAAGGACAAAGAACAAAAGGTCGAAGGACAAAAGGTCGAAGGAAAAAAGGTCGAAGGAAAAAAGGTCGAAGGACAAAAGGTCGAAGGACAAAAGGTTAAAAGGACTAAAGGTCGAAAGGACAAAAAGTCGAATGAACAAAAGGTTGAATTGAACAATAGTTGAATTGCATAAAAGGTCGAAGTGGAGAATGGGGGGCGACCCCGGCGTAGTGGTTAGCATCCATACCTCTCACGCCAAAGTCATGAGTTCTAATCTCACCCCCGGACAAGTCACGAATGACCCAAGAGCGTTAAAGTGACCATAATTAAAAAAAAAAAAAAAAAAAAGAAGTGGAGAAAATGTTGAAATAGTCAAATGGTCGACTAGGCTAAAGGTCGAATGGACCAATGGTCGAATGGACAAATGGTTCAATCGAAAAAGAGTCAAAGGGATAAAAGTTTGAATTAAACATAGAGGGACAAATGGTCGAAAGGACAACAGGTCGAAATGGACAAAAGGTCGAAATGGAAGAAGGTCGAATGGACAATTGGAAAAATCGTCGAGAAGACAAAATGTCTTAATGGATAATCTGGTCAAATTAATGGACGATAAAATGGGTGGCTAACTCTCAGTTCTTTGGAAAATTTAGATAACAAATAGTTACTGTTCGTGTCACCGCAATTTAAAAGACAAATAACCATTGGCGTAGCTAATGAGGATGCCAAGGGAGCCACGCTCTCTCCAGAATTATCTAGCCCCCCCCCCCATAATTTTCGGTATTTTTTAACTAACCGGTTTTTTGACAAGCTTGTCAAGTTCGATGTTACTATTTAACAGCGATTAATCAAATTGGACCACAAACAAGTATCTTAAGAGTTGGTTGGAAATGCTAACATGAAGCTTTAGTGTGATGATTTATTAGCTAGAGAATGATCTTTAGAAGAGGGTAGGTGGATAGTTCCGTTAGAGTACGACAGTATGAAAATTGAATAGAAGTTGAAAATGAGCGAAGGGCCATTAATGCGACAGTTTTTCAAGATGGATGCACATTTTTGCCTAACCCGTACGATGTACGCGGGGACTTGAAGTACGTACGCGTACATCGTACGGGTTAGGCAAAAATGTGCGTCTATCTTGAAAAACTGTCGCATTAATGGCCTTTCGCTCATTTTCAACTTCTATTCAATTTTCATACTGCCGTACTCTAACGGAACTATCCACCTACCCTCTTCTAAAGATCATTCTCTAGCTAATAAATCATCACACTAAAGCTTCATGTTAGCATTTCCAACCAACTCTGAAAATCGTTAACTTCGCGTATGAAGTAACATCAAAACACTTTGAAAGTATCTTAAGTTTGACTACTTTTCTTATGCTCTGAACTAGAAAAAACAATTTTGAGAAATTATATTAGATCGATATTTAATCAATGACATAATCAGACGTCTTGAGGCTAAACAAATTGGACATGAGCCCAGGGATTTTTCTTTAACTACTGGGAACTTCGTAAAACTTCAAGGAATTCTAAGAAGTTCAAGGAACATCGTAGAAATTGAGGATACGTAGTATAAATTCTGGGAACATCATTAATCTTTAGATAAAATCGTAGAAACTAAGAAATTCAAAGTGGAAAATTTATTTAAGTTTGTAGACTTCGTAGAAGTTAAGGGATCAATATTTTACTTCAGGGAGCTCAATATTGATCGGAAACCTCTATATACTTTCAGGGCCCTTTTTTGAAGCCTCATGGACTTGCAATGAGTGTGGAAATTACGAAAAAATACAAGAAATTTCGTCCGAGGAACTTCGCGGAAAATCAACGAGAAACCTAGAAGTGCAACAAGCTTTGTAGCATTTTGAGGAACTGCGTAAAACTTCATATAAGTAAGTTCAGGGAATTTTGAAGAAGATCTAAAAATAGTTCAATAAACTTCTAAGAGCTTTGGGGATCCTCACTTCAGGTTAGCGAACTTCGTTGCAGTTTGTCAGAGATCTTACTTCCAAAAAGCTCCATGAACTTCTTGGAGGTTTTGGGAACTTCGTTAAATTTCAAGGAACTTTCCAGATGTTCAAGAATATTTTTAGATGATAGAGATAGATAGATGAGACATAGAAAAATATGGAATTTGGAATAAACTCAGGGAACTTCGTAGAAGTTGAGAATATTTTTTAAAGCATAAGGAAGTTTTATAGATGTTCAGGAAACGTTGCATAAGCTACCGGATATTCTTCATAGACAGCAGGAAATATTCAAAAGATCTCCATTTAAACGAAGATTTAAATGAATTTCTCTTGATATTTTC